GAATTTACATATAGTGAAACAAAAACACTACTTTGGACTTAAATGGGTTTTTTGGTCCATGTTTTACAGTGATCGTTTATTTTTATTCACGCTCACTGAATAGTTATCTAGTGCGCTCTAGCAAAGTGCATATCTTCACATTAGATAAGGCATAGGTGTTAGGCCCTGAAAAAAGCATCGACTCAGCGTTCATTTACATAACCAAGTTTCAAATTAATTTACCATCTTCATTTACATCATAACCGCGCAAAAGCATGCATTTTGTATTCCTATTCTTGCATTATACAAGAAGTTTGCCACCATCGACCTAGTTAAACGGCTCAGCCCATCACCAGTCTCCCAAGTCGCAGTGTATGGTCGAGCATCCGAAGCACTAATAGGAAGGTCGTACGTTCGACTCCTGATCGGAGCACTCGGAGTTCTTTCTCTCCGAGTATACTGTGTCATTCGTTGAGTAACAACATCTTTTACATTGATTTAGTAGTCAGCGGAATCGTTAAATTCTGAATCGAGAGCTTTGTAATGGGCTCCAATTAAACTACATAGAAATTCATACCATGCAGCATCCAAATTAACACCTTCACTTAAATTAAAAAATTATCACCTTCTCTTTGATTTCTACCACGCGTCACTTACCAGGAATAGCCGGGGTAACGGCTGCAGTAGACTGCGCTATAAAAAGCAAGAATAAATAAGAGTGACGGTGCTAAGTGTTGAAATGCATAAACACCAAGTATTATTCTTAAAAAATGCATAATCGCAATGAGAAAGGCTGACAAAACTGTTGCTCTTTTAGGCTTAGACATGAGGAATATTTCGTGGATTGTTCATCCAATTTTCTTTTAACGACTATGTCTTCAGTAATTTAATGGAGGAATATAAAGTTGTAGAAATGGTAGAGTGTCTTCGGTTTAATCCTACACACTCATTTCAGTTCCTCCTGTGTACGGAGAAATAACAAAAATTAATCGAAGTATAACAGCTGAAACTTAATTCATGTTAAAGTAAAAGATACTCACAGGGTGTAGGTGTGATACTAGTTGAGTGAAGAGCTGAAAACAAAATAAATAAACATCCATTGAGCATCACTATACATCAACCACAGGAATAGTACCTTTAATTTAAATGTAACTTACGCTTCCTCATAAACGAATACAATCTGCGAGGTTTCTTCAATGATTTAATTACTCGGAGAGATGTAAACTTCATTCATTCAGCTATTGACGGATTAATCGATTGATTCATTAATTGATTAAATAATTCACTGGGATTTCAAGCTTTCCTCTTCTTTTAATGCAGGCTAATAACTTAACCACTTGAAAAGTGAAATGTTAGCGTAACAATCCAACCTCTTACTCCTATTGAGATAAATGCATGTAGGGTATCTCCTATAAACTCACTCGTTATCCCTTTAACTCCCAAGATCTCATTTGTGATGTTAGCTTGGAGAATTCGAAGTTGGTATTGGATCAACCTATAATCCCCTAATTGATATTTTTCTTTATTCTTATCATTGTCTGACTGATATTGTACTGATATTTTAAGGAAAAATTCTGTCTTGGTCACTCATAGGAGTTAAAGGGTTATAAGTTATACGTTCTGTCTGTACAACCCTTCTTTTAGTCTCTATTGTACGCTCTCTCATGGCTTTACTTTATTTTTTGTGTGGCACTTTGTGGTCGGTCTGTCCATTTGTCTTTTGTTCGTTTGTCCCTGTTTGTCCATTTGAATGTGTTTACTGTTTTTCTGTATGTTTGTCTCTCCACCATTTGTCTGTCTGCTTGATATTTGTGTGTCTCTTGCAATTGTCTTTCTTTCTGTCTGTTGTTTTTCTACATTAATTTTACGCCTGTCTGTCTTACCTCCACCATTACCACAATAACGAAGGTGACAATTTGGCGGGGGCACAAGCTCGTATACGTAGAAACCGCTGCAGTTACGAACACGGATATTGGCAGACCACAAGCAACAATCATAACTCCAATGGAAACACACTTTAGCACGGACAATTCCATCAGTTGCTCGCGGGTGCGAGCCATTCAACCAACCCGGTGCATGGGTGCCACATCGATTTTTTCCTACACAGGACGTAGGCATCTCTGTTCCTGCTGCACCACCAAATCGATACCATCCAAGCGGTAACAAGTTGTCACATTGGAGATATCCGTTGAAGCCGTTATAGTAACTCATCCTTCTTTCTGCCTCTGTTAGGTATGAGTGGTAATGGCATTCTGAATGCAAAAGAGGAAAACAAATTGATAAAGACAAAAGGGACAGCAACGTCAAAAAGGGACAACAACATCAAAAATAGGGTGCATTACTAATTTTAACATGGCCAGACGATGTTAAAAGCCTTCAAAGTCGATATCACACAAAAAACTTTAAAGCAAGTCAATTGTGCATCGCTGTTTGTTGAACTCTGCAAACAGCTTAATAATAATACTAATAATACTAATAATAATAATAATAATAATAATCTAGCGAGCCATTTTGGTAAAGGTGTCCAACCAATCGCATGAGCTTTTAATCGATTCTTTTAAGCCAATGAAAATCCCTTACGGTCATATATTCAAAGAAACTGAGTTCTATTCCGAATTACCTAATAAAACCAAGTTGATATTACAAAAACTATTTTTTTCTCCATATATATATTCATTTGATGGTAGATGAGATAGAAAGGGTTGAAATACAACCTGAAGCAAATGAAGGAGCTGCGCTGGCGGATGCCCATGGAGCTGTGGGGAAAACAAAATTGGTGAGGCTTCATCTCGCATTTATCGAATTCATTATCAAGAGTTACGTCATCACTGAGTCTAAATGTTTTTAGACGAATGGAAAAAAATCGGAAAATTTCACACACGACGATTCCAACAGGTAAAAATATTTAGTTTACAGATTCTTTTTTTTAGTTGTGTTTGCCAACCCCAACCTTTTGTTAAAAACCGTTTTTTATCTTTTTTTTGTTCGATGGTATTTATTCCTCTATTTAATTCCTTATAAACACAAATTCCTTGCTTTGCAGTGAAACTAGTAGAAGAAGTATTGGTAACGGCAATAGTAGTAGTGGTCATGGTAGTTGCAGAACTGGTTTTTGTAGTCGTAGAAGAAGAATAAAACGAAAAATACCAGCTGAAGTAGGTGTTATGCCTTGTGAGATACCTGCAAAAAGAAATGGAAAGGTATTGTTACCACGTTTGCCACCTCAGGAATGTTTTTCCAAAGCTTGTTTGTTACTTACCCAAAATTATGGACATATGTTATTGTACTAAATGTACTGTAATCTCCTTAACGCATAATTTTGAAACATTTTTTGTCAGACACAACAACCGTCATCAAAGATTTCTTCCCGTTCTGTATCTGTCTCTCCGTATGTCTGCTTACCAGTCTATTGTCTCGTCTCTTGTCTGACTATCTGTTTATTTAAAGGGGTGAGGTTTGGAAGAAACTGTGGTGCTGTGTCGGTGGAGAAATATAACAAGATACAGCTGACAATTTGAAGTGTTTGCCCTTCGTCAGAGCGAATTGTCTGTCTCTCAGTCAGTCTGCCTGCCTACCTGTCTTTCTTTCTGTTTTACTTGAGCGTGTGTCTATCGGTATTGCTTTGCATAATTTTTTGAAAGGTTACCACCAGACATGCAGATAAATGCAAGACTAAAAGTAGTCTTACTCGAATTGACTTTGCAGACTGCGTATCTCTTAGAGACTTTTTCATAAAAGGCAGTGAAACCAGGGTAGGAAACTGAACCATCTGTTTGGAAGTGTACATAAAGGACGTTGCTGTGGCTGTAAATGCACCAGGAATCTTGATAATCGCAGCGTCTCATTGTTAGGCTTTGATAAGAATTTCCATCATATATCCGTACGTAGTCGTAAGGGCAACTTCCATGACTACCCTCCAGATGGAAATGATCAAAGCGGAGGAAAATGTAAGAACCTGGTGAAGTCGTAATAAGCCAAGTACAATGGACATTGTGGCCGTAGTTTTGTGGGTAGTTTGGAGTGCTAAAATTTCCTTGTGGTCCATATAGATTGTAGAGACAGGATCCTAAAAAAAAACAGTCATCAAATAAGCAACAACATAAGTTAGACTATCAATTATTATCTTGATATCAAGCATATATCAGGGAATTCAGGATTATTTAAGAAATGCTAAAGTGTCATGCAGTCTTACCAGAGGCAGCTGGCAGCATGGCTGTTGACATTGGTAATATCGACGCTGAGAAGATAAGAGGCATGATCAAAAATAGGATACACGCAACTTGAAAAGGATAAACCCCAAAAAAAGATGTGTGTTAGTTGAATCTTGGGAAAAAGAAAGTACTAACACCTTAGCTCTGAAGGTTAAATAGAATGTACACGAGATTACATCGCATTCCTATAAACTTGCTGAAAACACTTTCAATCGATAACTCACACATTCAAACAATATGAAAAATCAACGATAAAGTAAAACATTGGATAAGAAAAAAAGTACCTGGTGTAGGAGATATACCAGTGAAAACACTTGACGGCAACTGGTGAGCTATGGGAAGAAAATGATCATGGTGGCTAAGTTTCTCAACTGAAAAAATATATAGGTACGAAGTCAGGATCCACAAGAAAGGGTGTGCAAGCCCTTTAACCCTTTATTTCTTTGAAAAGATCTCTGCTTAACCTATTTATGTTTGCCTGATTTTATGTAGCCCGTCTAATGATATTGATAAAGAGAATTTAGTGGACAAAGCTTTTTAAATCAAGACTATAAGTATTTTTTTTTCTTGTTTCTCTTCAAATATATATATATATATATATATATATATATATACACACACACACATATTTATCTTGTTTTTTTGCGAAATGTTTTAAGCGCGTCTGCTTGCTTGCTATTTGTGTGCGTGTGTTTGTATTTTTGTACTTTTTTGTACTTTTCTTAAGAATCACTTTTTTTGCTTGTTTTCTCTATTGTTCCGTTTACCTTAACTATCTTCAGTTAATAATAGTTCACCCATGATAAGTGTGTTTTAAGTCTTTGGGGCGTAAAGTCTTAGTTATAAGCTCCAGGCTTTCGAAATGAGCTTCCTTGCCAGGAATAAGAAGAAAATTGTGTATATTCGAATATAGATATTGTAAATATTGTAAATATTTTCTTGCAAAATAAATCGAATAAATAATAAGCAGAATCTAATGGAAATCGATTACTATTAGAAAACCTT